GTGAGTTGGGGGAGGGAATGTGTGGCTTGGGTGAGTCCCAGGCTGTCCCATTTTTACTCTAGGAAAAATGGTCATCAGAGGTATGGGTTACATCAAGAATTCTTAAATTGTGGGCTGGGACTGCCAGTCATCAGAGGTATGGGTTACATCAAGAATTCTCAGACTGTGGGCTGGGACTGCCAAGTGGGTTGCAGCTCTTTTAATGGGGTCACCAAGGCTGGCATTAGACTTTCTGAGGCCTGGGGCCAAAGCCCAACCCCCAATGCCAGGGGCCAAAGCCTGAGAGTTTCAACCCTTGGTGGTGGGGCTCAGGTTACAGGCCTCCTCCCTGGGGCTAAAGCCCTTGTGCTTCAACTTTGTGTAAAGTTGGGATAGTGGGAGTCAGGTGAGCTCAGCTTTGGTCCTCCCCTCCTGTGGTCATGTAGCAATTTTGGTTGTCAGAAGAGGATTGCAGTGCAATGAAGTTTTACCCTATTAGATAAAAGAGTTGCAGAGCAGAGTGAAATATTGCACCCCTTTGGTATTCAAATGAGCAAGAGGCACAAGAAGATGTAACACAGAGAAGATCCAGTTGGCATTTGCCCACTATTAAATCTGTCCCTGACATACCACTACTCCATCTTTTCCTTCAAGTCAGATCCACTGTCCTTTCAATTGTCACAGAAACCTCTGATTCCATGTTCCTTTACCTATAAAAAATCACTATTCTCCCACTCCCAAATAGTTTCCCGCTATACAAAGTAGTTGGATTCTAGAAAAGAGTTGTTCAAAATGTGGATGCAAGGAGTGTGTGATTTTGAAATTAACACATAGGACTAGGAATCAGGAGACCTAGGATCTCAGCTGTGTGATAGATTTCCTATTTGACCTTGGGTAAACCACATAATGTTCCCTACATGCCTCACTTCAACCAGCTTCTGATCTTCAACTTTTTACCATTTTTGTCATCTTATCTATTTTCTTCTGATTTCATTGCATCTCTTACGATGTACCCTTTACTTTGGTAGTTGAACCTGAGATGCAGTTGTTTATTCATGCTGCAGATGTTATGCATTGCTGGAATTTATTTATGAACAATATGATGTGTTATTTACTCCATGATGTTAAAACTTTGAATTCTAGCATTAAGATTCCTGAAAGATGCTTAGGAAACCAGAGAGATGCATGAACATTGAGAACTATTTGTAAGTTTTGGGACAGATTGCAAAACTGCTCTGGAAGGAGAGAACCCAAAAATAGTGTAAGAAGAGAATCAAGAGGAAAGACAAATGCAAAGAAAATTCAGAAGACTTGAAGACCCAGAAACAAAAGGATATAGTATGAAGACAGAAGGAGGGGTCCAGAAAAAAACAGACATAAAGAACGGAACAGGACCAAGGAGTATGGTTGAGGCAGACATAGCCATAGGACAGACAATAATCAGGAGCCAGAGAAACACAATGAAAGGAATCTGGAGAAGCTATAGTAAAGGGATATGTAATAGGGGGCAGTGGAGGGGGAAGCTGCCCAGTGTTCTAGTTAATCATTATAAATATGTAAATTAAACAATATATATATTAATATTTCTTTCAGATCTGATAATGTTGGCCTCAATAGTCCCTTGGTCATATAAGCACAGTTGGGAGTAGAAGAGAGTTCTGCTTTAACAGAGTCTCCATTCTCCTACCACAGTAATGCTATATTTGTATCCCTTGTAGGCTGACCTTCTGATGGTGGTAATCAATTATGTATATGTGTTAATTACACAAATTTGTATGTTTATTTGATAATGTTAAATGATATTTCTAGGCTGTTTGTGAAAAACAATATGGAGTCTGTATACCAGGTGACCTCAGGACAGGGAGGGGCTCTCCATCTCAGAGTGGTAAACAAAAATTGGCACAGACCGGAATTTCCTGCCTTTTCTTAGTTACCTCAGAACTGGTCCCCACTGAGGGGTCACATGGTAAAAATCACCTCAGAGGTTTCCTGCCCTGACGGTTTTATAAGTCCAGACACAGCTCATGGGGGGTGGTGTCCATCTGAGTGGCAGTGTTTGCACGTGTTGTCAGCTCTCTTTCCTGAGACCGCCACGGGATCTGATCCAGCTGCAAGCCAATCAGAGGAATAGAAGAGGGAACCCCATCCATTGTCTTCCATCTACACGAGTGTCATCTGCCTGCCATCCTCTTCAGGGTTCCTGTACCGCCAGCAAGGGACTCCCCAGCGTTCCTCCCTGAGGGCTCTCAGGCAGCCCAAAGATTGCAGGTCCTGGGCAACACACCTCTGGCTCAGCCACTCCAGTCCAAAAGAGTAAAATAACCATTTGTATTTGGGGTAGAACCTACCAATTATTTTCATGCAGTTCAGTTGGGACATTAAGGGTTTTACTGGTCACTTCCACTGTTTTGTTAAAGGTTATTAGTTTGCATCCGGTTTCTCCCCTGCTTTTTTCACTTAATACTGTATAATACCCCTAATACAGTTTCTTTTTGTTTTCACTTTTAATTGGAATCTGTTTTCCTTTATCGGCATAATTCACAGGTGACCCTGTGGGAGGGGGCGGATCTGCTTTCTTTTCACTGGGGTTCCACTATCAGGCCACATTTGAGTGTTATCGAGGCCCCCAGGGGTAACACCCTGCAGAAACAGGAACTGTAATTCCTACCAACTGTAATTATTAGTGTAGGAGGTGCAATGAGAGCTGTGGCAATTTACTCAAGAAGACTGATTTAAAAAGTTGTGAAATAGTATTTCAGGTTCCATAGCAACCAGACAGATAATGGATTATCCACGTTTCCATTTATAGTAGCCAGGCATTACCCGTGTGCTATTTTGACAAGTTTTTTGCTTTGTTAATAACGATAGCCATTTGGTTGTGTGTGTATCCTTTTTTTATGTACTGTGTTGACTTTGTGCAAGTAGTTGACACAGCAGACTTTGGGAGAGCCCCAAGGACCATAAAATTAGATAAGGATTGAAGGCACCAGGTCAGGTTTATATGTTAAACCAAGTACAGTAATAGTAGATTTTACCAAACCACTACACATATGTACCCCTGACAATGGACAGACTTAGTGCTAGGAATGTGAAACTGCCCTCTCAGTTGGACAAACACAACTTTTTGGGGTACATTTTTATACACAAGCACATTGCCTTTGACATATTAGGTTGCCACCCCTCCTTGATGTACCTAGATTTACCCATTACCTTGTACACAGGGGTTTGATTACTATTTTTGTGCTGTTAGTTTAGACTCTGTTTTGGACCTGGGTTGGTATGTTTTTGTTATTTGTGGGGTGTGTGTTGGTACTGAGATTTTTTTATGTGGTGTTTTATTATGACCCCATTGGAATTTGTTTATGGCCTATGCTTAGTATCTTTTAAGTATGAGTGTCTGTAATATTAGCTGTTTTTGCCAACTTTTGGAAGCTGGGGCTTACCTTTTGCTTACAGCTTTACTGTACTTTATATTAGCAAAGTTTTGACAGTTGCCGTTCAGATCTTATACCAGGCCTGTGATATATTGGCTTATGTTTTAGGCCCTCATTTGACTACACCATCAATCACGATTTATAGGACGTGCATTTTATGTTATAAAATGAAAGAGTCAGATTGCTTAGTAAAAAAGCCTAGAACTGAGATATTCTTTTAACAGTTTTTTGTACCCCAAGTCACCAAATCCTGCTGTGTCCAGACTCAGGGTTTTTTTTGGGAAAAGTAGCCTTTTTCCGAAAAAACTTCACCTGCGTCTAGACTGCAGCCGCGTTCTTTCGAAATTAAATCGAAAGAACGCGGCTTTTCTTTCGACGGCGGTAAACCTCATTTCACGAGGAAGAACGCCTTCTTTCGAAAGTGCTTCTTTCGAAAGAAGGCGTTCTTGAATGTAAATAGGGCTTCTTCGAAAGAGAGCATCCAGACTCACTGGGTGCTTTCTTTCGAAAAAGCGGCTTGCTCTTTCGAAAGTTCCGCGTGCAGTCTAGACGCTCTCTTTCAAAAGAGGCTCTTTCGAAAGATACTTTCGAAAGAGCCTCTTTCGAAAGAAGCCTGCAGTCTAGACATAGCCCTACAGCACAACAGTTTTGCTGTTGTGTTTTAGAATGATGCTTTAAATGACTCACTGAAACCCATTTTTAAAAAAATCTTGGTTACTAAAGCAAGGATCCTGGTCCAGATCCTTAGCAGGTGTAAATCAGTGTAGCTCTATTGATTTTATTCGAGCTGTGCATATTTATACCAGTTGAGGCTCTGGCCCGCTGAAGCCGCGCACAAATATGGTAGAGCAGTGGGAGGACATAAGTAGGCTATTGCTGTAACAAATGATCCCTTAATCACAGCCGGTCGCGCAGCAGAGGGGGCGGGGAGCGAACTCCTGTGCCAATCTGCTAGGGAACAAAGCGTGACCCGACCCAGGTGGCACTGAAAAGCAACCCAAAGCCCACACAGCCCAGCTCGCGCTCCAGCAGCTTATGGGATGAAAGGGTTCAACAGCATCCGCGAGAGGCAGCCCCCAGCAGGGCAGCCAGGGGGCAAGGAGGCTGGGGGTGCCGGGCAAGCTTCCCAGTTGCAACCAGGGGGCTGAGGAACACTGTAGCCGCGCCACTGGGGTGTCAGGGCCAGAGCAGGAGGGGAGGGGGGCGGAGCGAGGGGAAGGCGGGGCAGGGGGGCCGCAGCACGTGCTGGGCCCGGCAGATCCGTTAGGCTTTGGG